AGTTCGAAAGCATACAAATGCACGTATATGCAAGTAGTTCGAAAGCATACAAATGTGTCACTTTGGTGGGAAGGTAACCATACTCTGTGATGTCATGTTGGCCACATGACTAGAAATGTCTTCGGACAACGCTGGGTCAATGGCCTTCAAATGGAGATTAGCACCTCCGCCCTCACCCCCAGAGTTAGCAATGACTAGTGGAATAAAATCCATAGGGACGCCTTACCTTGTTACCCTAAGAGCTGGGAATTGGAGAAGGTTATTCTGTGCTTCCCATATGAACATGACTATGAAAGAGTAATTGTAATAAAAGATGTATTCTGTGAGATAAGGGAAACAATCTATTAATTATAAAATATTCTAATTGTTTATTACTAAATGTGCAGGGCTTCAAAAGCAAACCCAGAAAGAAAGGTCACATACAGCCTGACTTGATAGATGTTGATTTAATAAGAGGTATGAATCATTTGAAAATTTAATCACTTGTTTTACATTTGCAAAACATTTATACTGTGCAGTTAGTGATGACAAGTAATACATATTATACATATATAGTATTTAGTACCTGTCTTATTTTATTTATAATTTCATTATAAATAAAATGTCTGTTGTGCTTTTAGACTTTCATGGCAGTTTAGATTAATTAAAATCCAATTAAACCAGAAGACATTTTAAAAGGTAGTAGAGATTTATTTTTAAGCAAAACTAAATATTTCAAGATCCAGTGGAAAATTAGTAAAGTCAGACTTCTTGGCGATCTCCAATATTGCAAATTCCATTCTCCAAAGATAATGTTCTGGTGGCTGTGTTTTGTACCTAGCTGAAATTTTGAAATATTACGTGCCCTTATGGATGGCATATTATAAAAATAGCTTTTGTTAATAAAATATTTGTAACTCATACATTCCTACAAAAAATAAGAGAGGTAGTACATCTGCCAAAATTTTATAGAAGTAGTTCTACATTGACTGTCAATACAAGATCACAAGGAATCCTTGATACACTGGAAGAGAAAATCTTCTCCTTCAAAAACAGTGTATCCCCATCCAGAACTGAATACAATTCTTAACTATATCTCTTAAATGTATAGTCTCTTTAAAGGAAAACTGAACTCTTGCTTGTTTCAATGGCATGACCATGAAGCTTTCCTGGCAATTGGGCAAAAGTGCTTTGCCATTATTGTCTGGATGTTTTTTTCTTAAGGGAAGAGGCAGGTGCTTCCCATTCTGACCTCCAATCCTGGTATCTTCAGTCTAGTGCTAAAACAGGCCACACTTGGAATACTCCATTCAGTTTTGGTCGCCACGATGTAAAAAAGATGTGGAGACTCTAGAAAGAGTGCAGAGAAGAGCAACAAAGATGATTAGGGGACTG